ATCTAAGCAATAAAAAAGAATAGCCTTCACACCTCGATATTATCTGTTGTTAATAAAAAGATGTATAGTGTCGATCTAGAAAAGCAACACTGTAGCACTCATATCGTGGGTGTCGCAAAAGGTGACTAAAGATTTAATCGGAGAATGGGTAGGAATGTTGTTTGAATCTGCGATACCGATATACCGATATACTGCGATGGCTAGTTGACATTTACTAGTGATTGGGCGTATTGTAAACCCGCACGGGTATCAAATACATTCTGCTTATTTCCGCCTCAAATAAGTCGTACGTCCTGGTTTGAAGACTAGAGCAGAATACAAATAGACTTCAAACTCGTGTTTCAAAATGGTGGGTGTTCGTGTTCTGTTGTCTATGGCTCCGGTTTCCCCTTTACACTGCTTGAGGCATGAGCTCGTTCACTCATCTAGGTTTTAAAAAAGTATTTCGCTCTGTATTCTACGTAGTCCGGGCTATGGTTGTCTGCGTTGAACGCATTTTTTTTTTATTGCCCTTGTAGGCAGACGAGCATACGGCCCACCTGATGGTGAGTGGTTACCGTCGCCCATGGACTTCAGCAATGCCAGGGGCAGAGCCAAGCCGCTGCCTACAAATTAATTAGAATTATAAACGCTTTATCAATAGTATAATTTTGTTAAATTTAAATACAACGATAAGACGTCCGGTGCATTCGTATCTAGCGATGCAACCAACGGTGTTCGAATCCCGCAGCCGTTAACAATTTTTCTACCGAAATACGTACCTGGCAAAATATGTTCACAATTGACTTCCACGGTGAAGGAATAACATTGTGTACATAATAAAAATCAAACCCGCAAAATTATAATCTCCGTAATTACTGGTGGTAGGACCTCTTGTGAGTCCGCACGGGTAGGTACCACCACCCTGCCTGTTTCTGCCGTGAAGCAGTAATGCGTTTCAATTTGAAGGGTGGGGCAGCCGTTGTAGATATCTAAGGACTCCGGTAACCACATAACACCAGGTGGGCCGTAAGCTCGTCCACCCATGTAAGAAATAAAAATAAAAAGTTATTCAGTACGCTGTTTTGATCTCACTCGCTTTCTCCAGAACCTCCAGATTTAAAAGAGAGTTTCCGCTTGAATTGCCTAAGCAGTATTGCTTTTAAACGAAAGCCGGAAATGATTTTTCGTTAAATAAAATGAAATACCTGTTCCATATTTAAAAATATGAAAATATGTTTTTATTAAGAACGTACAGTTTTAAAATACGATGGATGTTTATACGTCACATCTGGTAGTAATTTTCTCTTACATTTTCCAAATCCTAACCTAAAGTTCTAAACTCCCGAACATTAACAGGCGATTAGCAAAATTGCATATAAATACGATAAACTAGAAATTGAATTAAATAAAAATAAAAACTGCAGCTATTATGCTAACCTTACCAAGTACTGTAAAAAAAATAGCAATAATACAATGCTTCTTTAAATACATTTCCGTTGTCATCTATTTCGGATGTCACGTAAAACTTTATAAACATGAAGATTTTTAAACATGAATAAAAACAAGACTGCTATTATGGCATTTTAAAACTAACCTCTTAGCCGCACTAAAGCGTGCGTAGTAATATATTGAAGCTGCCATATTTCCACTACAGCGAAACATTAAAATAATCGACGAACATAAACAGACTCGGCACTTTTGACAATGACACCCTAGATGGTTGTTCTGTGAAAGACTGAATCGCGTAATATGTAAATGTAAGCGCTTCGATACAACACAGGTCATAACTTTGATACAAGCCCTTAGAGGTTTTTAAGAGATAAAATCTCAAAAAAATCTGATCTGACGAGTAAGAACTTAAAAGAACCAATTACCAATATCGAGTTACAGAGCACACTTTCCAGTAATTGCAGAGCGAGATTTACACACGAATGTGTTGTTGTTATAAGGGATGGTTTTTGAAGTAAAAAAAAAAACAAATTTAAAGAAAATAATCAATTAAAATACTTGTTGCTATTTTCTTTTTATATTAGTACGTTTTGAAACAACTAATTTGATGCTTATTAGCTTATTGCTATTAACGAGAAATAAATATCGTTTCAGTAAATTAATACCAAACTTTTCCCATCAAAGTTTACTCGCAAATATTGCCTCCAATTAAGCTTCAAATGAAATATCAATGAAAGTTTGTTTACCATTGTAAAATTATTTAAAAATAAAGTAGATAGCTGTATTTGTTTTTGTGCTTATAATATTAAGAGCACATTACGCATGATACGTACTGATTGTAGTGAATCCTAGCGTAGGGGTATAAATAAGCCATTTATGTATTTCTACCGCTTACAAATAATTCCTGTTTTGTTTTGCACTTCTAGTAAATGTTATTTGACCCTTTTCAAACGAGATTTGAAAAGAATCCTAAGTTGTAGGAAACGATGCAGTTGTGCGTCTAGTAATCATGAGCATTAATGGTGGCATCAGCAAACTCACCAAGTGGGCCCTAGCCCGCCTGCCTCAAACGCCGTAAAAAAGCATTGATCTATCCATTACGATCCCATCATCAAATATTTTCTTGTGATCTTTAGCGGTAGAAATTTATATATATTTTTCTTTAATCCAATCACAGTTCCACACCAATTTATTTCGATTTTTTCCTAGTAAACCTAATTTTTCCTAGTAACTTACTTAAATTTGAGCGGCATACTTGAAATACCATTTTCATTCCCCAAAAGTTTCTGACAGTAATTCTATTAATACACAAACTATGACATTGATCGGGGCGAAGTTATTCCGAAGAACGTTGCCGTAATGCGATTTCCTGTGCATATTTAGCTCAAGATTAAAGGATTAATGCGTCAACTTGCCAAGTGCAATACGTTGGCTCTGTTTGTCTTGTTTCATACAATACATTAAAGGCACAACACTTGCACGTCTAGACTGAAATGTAAAACAGATAAATTAAAATACGGCGAAGGATAACTTCTTTTAGACTTCATACAGAATTCAGAAAGTATCTAATAAAATAACTAAATTAATCATAAAAATTACAAATACATTTCTTTTATATGTTAAAATTAAATGTCTTATTTAATCTTGCGTACCCTACTATGATTTTCAGTCCAAAATAAAAGATACATTATTTTATAACTGAACGCCTGTAAACAAAATACAGGCGTTCAAGTATTTTTAACTCGCTATTATTGGTTTGACTGTATCTGATATGTAAATTAATCTTTCAACATAATTTTCACCAACTCCTAGACGTCCGATTCACTTCAAAATTGCACATATAGTACGACGTATGCAACGCGTCAGTGATCGTTGAGATTAAAATGATTTTATTGTTATATTTTAACCTAATATCTGATTACTACTATGTGAAATCTAATAACTCTCGAACTTTTTCATTTTGTCCAGCATATTAAAGTCTATTTATTATCTGTGGTTAGGTCGTCGTTAATTTTAGTCTCAAATGACGTCATATGTAATGAAGCTGCTGTTTTTAGTTAAGTATGCGTGTAATAGAAAATACTCTAAAATGATCAATCTTTTAATTTAACATCTGTTTTTTGTTCGAAATCTGTAACTATGTCTTTCATGTAACCAACACATAATAAGAATGTAAACAGATTTTCAGAGAAAAAAAAACACTAACAAGCCATAAACAGGACATTTTAGTCCCATATAATAGCTCACAGCCTTGTTTCGAAACATACACCCCTATTAGCTCAGCGAAGAGCCCATAAAACTGTACCCTGTAAAACAACATATTTCATATATTCACTACTTTTTATAAGGTTCAGTTTCGTGTGAAAATGTGAAATAAACAGAATTTTAAACGCCAATTATAGTGCTTTAGTGCCAGATATTAAAATATCAACGATTTTTAAATCAATGATCCCAAAAGTTAAAAAGAACTTAAGTCAAGTGTTATCCATATTAAGCGTAATTGCTGACACCTCGGAATAACTGTACTATTTTACCTGATTTGACATTTCGCGAACAAAATCACTAAAACTCCGTTATCGTTTAGACAAATCTTCGTACTCTATCAAATGCGAAACGTTCGTCAAATACTTTGAAAAGTCTTCAACGACTAACAAATTGGAATGCTTATGCAGAAAACTTTCAAATGATAATTATTTTTGATTATACCGATTGGTGTCTCGGTGGGCGTCTTAATTAAAACTATCAAAACCAACGATTATTTAAAGTCAATTACAAACGATTCTGTCACAAATGTGATAGCAGTTTTGGGAAACTGGGAGAAAAATCGCAATGCCGTAACCAGGTTGATTCTCAAACAACTTTTAAGTATTTTTTATAACAAAGAACAACTAACCGGTTCTTGGATTTTCCGAAACGAATCTAGTAGTTACACCCTGCTCATTTCGGTCGTGGAGTTTGGTTTGAAAGGTTCGATGTACTGCCGTAGCAACTCAAACTTCAGCCTCATGTCGCAAGACGGACTGTGCGATCACGACCTTCTTTTTTAATTCCACTATAGATAGACTAGAGTGCGTCTACCTGATTATGAGTATTCATAGTCACTCATACCCGTTAGCAATGGGGCNGAATCTAGTAGTTACACCCTGCTCATTTCGGTCGTGGAGTTTGGTTTGAAAGGTTCGATGTACTGCCGTAGCAACTCAAACTTCAGCCTCATGTCGCAAGACGGACTGTGCGATCACGACCTTCTTTTTTAATTCCACTATAGATAGACTAGAGTGCGTCTACCTGATTATGAGTATTCATAGTCACTCATACCCGTTAGCAATGGGGCTACATCGCTGCTTACCGCTGACTTACTCTCAATAACTACTACACTTAAAGAAGGAAGTATCGTGTAGCGCTTGAGAATCAGTGAAGGGTAGATTTATTTTAAAGTCGGATTACACGTCACAAGCGTATTTATAAGTTTGGCAACCTTAAATACCGGTAGGCGATGAGCTTATGCCTGCCCATGTCAATGATACAACATGAACAAATAAAGACGTGTGATTTTTCTATTGTTCTAGCCATGAATCTTACAATGCAGCTCGCAGTTGTGGTGGCCGTGTGCCTGTGCCTGGCCGAGGGAGCTCCCGACGGTCGATTGGCAAGGAAGCAGCAACGACCAACCCGCGGCTTTAAGAACGTCGAGATGATGACCGCCAGGGGCTTCGGCAAGCGGGACAGGTCTCACACCAGGGCTGAACGTAAGTTATTATTTTAGTAAATTGTTATTTCTGTTAAAATCAGCAAAACAGACGGGTTTTTGTAAATTATATGGAAAATGTTTGATGTTCGGCACTTGTAAGCTCAAACGGGTAGAACCATATTTCTGCTTATTTCTAAATCGACGCTGTTATGTGATCCGATTTGAAGAATGGAACAGCCTTATTCGATATAATATATACAACCTCAAGTCGCAAAGTGAGTGGTGGCATTTACATTGTAATGTCCACGAGTTTCGGTGGCCGTTTAACATCATATAGGCCGTGAGTTCGTCTGGCCGTCTAGTCTAGTACAATTTCAAGAAATAAGGCAGTGTTAGTTCAATAATTACTTAAATTAATATGTTTTAAATTATGTAGATTCACATATAATTTCAGATTAAGTATTACAGAAACATTGGCCCCTGGTGCTTACTTTGATCTGTGGCAAAAAAAATTGTTACACGTTTTAACAATGCTGACATACTAAATTTGTTTTAGTAAAATAAAATTGTTACTAGACTTTTGTGTATGTATAAAGAAATAAATATTGAATTTTGCCTTCACAAATTAAAATTAAAAGTAAATGGGCCGAATAAAATTTACTAAGAATATTAGGCGGTCTCTTAGCCGTTCATTTCCCTTTATATTGAAATTCAAATAACAAGGGAATTGTCGGAACAAGTTTTGATAACTTTGCATTCCGCTAGCAACTGAAGTTGGATTGTTAACAACGAAATGAGCTATTTTGATGATTGTCAATCATTAACTCGCCTTAGTTTTGGATTGAAAGTTTTAAAAATATTTTAGAAGCAGATTTAATTAAGAGTATACCTAAAACTGATTATCTAAAGGAATTAATTACTATATGTTCTTCTGATATAAAGCTTTAAAATATGATTACAGGAAGCAATACGTAATCAAATACTACAGATGTAGATGTGTAGTGCAGAGTCTTTTGTAATTGTAGAAGCGCTTCGAATTTAGCGTCAATTATTTTCAACAAGTCACTTGTCGCCAAGATTCCTATGCTTAAGGTGTAAGAAGCCTTTGAAAGGCAACCTTCAGTAGTTTTATGTTACTCGATGCGACTACGAGTATAAAATTGAATAGTACCTGCTGGTGCTCTAAAGGTTAATAAATTATACTGAGTTACTAGATCAAAAACTCAATACAAAAGTCAAGATTTCGGAAATATTTTTGATAAAATAATTGTTTTGGAAGGACACTAAGAAATTACGCCAATTAAATTTCGAAAAATTTACCTTCAAGAGTTATCTTTTATATCTTTTCAATTTTATCTCAACGAAACTGAAGTCACATAATGTTCATAATTGATAATGTTGTTTCAATTATAATCGAAGGCGATGTAGATCATCAACAATCATCTCAACGTCCTAGTCGCGGTACTCCTACATTTAAGAGTCCATCGGTCGGTATCGCCAGAGATTTTGGTAAAAGAACACCGGAATTTGAGAATGAAGGTATTTGGGAAGCTGACATCGATTTGCCATGCGTAGCGCTGGCTATCTATACGAGAATTGCACGGTGTGCTTATAAAACGATTGAATTGTGAAAACATCGAGATGATACCGATGAAAATAGTGAACGAATTAAACAAACCTGGGCTCTTTATGATAAAATAAACTAAAATATCACAGAAACTAAAATATACTAAAATATCACAGCGTCAAATGAAAATGAAGTGTATATATACATATCAGTTTAAGAGTTAAAAATATAAAATTTAATTCAAATTTGAAAATCACTATTTTCATCGACAGTTCGATCTTGGTGGAATCGAAGCTAGATTTCGTTCGTGACTGGCCTTCGAAGCCACAGACGGGGCCATTCGAGAAATCCGTGTCGCTTTGCAGGTGTTTGTTAAGATTGAAATCCTGTTAGTGTTCAGAATCGAAACAAGCGTCCGCGCGAACGTTTGTGTATCTTTATCGAGAGGGAGCTCATGACTTGACTTCTAATTTATACAATACATGTGTTATAGGCTATTTTAGTAGAATATTTAGAAAAAGAATTGGATTTAATTAATTTCTATTCGATTAAAGTTGGGAACCAAGTCAGTGCTCTCTATGAAAGGATCGATGCAGATTTTGAAAAGCTTAAGGCAAAATAACACCAAAAAGACTGGTAGCGCTTCAATGAAAGAACGCATTCAAATACTAAAGATTACAGAATCCATACAATTAATTCTAAAACTATGAACAATTACGACGCACACAACAGGGATGTCATTATCTATGCAATTTGTTACATACACTTATACTTCCACTTAAACAGATGATATCGGCTACGTACACCATCCCCGCATGAAGTTTACCCCTAAAATAGGTCTGATGGTGGCTCACGACTTTGGCAAAAGAAGTGGTAACGATGATTATGATGAAGGTAAAGATTGGCAGACACCTCGCTGTTACCACGCTTGGCGCTTTCGGTGATCATAAACCGTCTGCTGTTTGTTGTATAAAAGAGCCATATATTTTAAGACATTTTGACAGAGAATATGATTATTTTAAAGTATTTATTTCAGGCCCGCTTCTTTTAGTTTATAAGGTCTATTATCCCATACAGTATTTAAGCTGCCTAAATTTGATTTAGTGTATTATTGTCATATTTACTGTTCACGAATCTAAAAAAAACTTTCCCAATCTACCGTCGTGAATTGCAATTCCAACAGAAGAAGAGATCAGGGTGACCAGGGGAACTTTCAAGCCAAACTCAAACATTCTTATCGCGAGGGGCTACGGGAAACGCACAAATTCTCAAAACGAACCAGGTATCACGGCGGATCATCTCGAAGCCAATTCGAAGAGAACAACAATCAAAATATTTAACAATATTTCGTTGTTAAGAAAACGGCTTGAAAGCCGAAATCGAAATTGTTTGTTTGTGCAGACCCATCGACCGAAACGCCTCGGGGACCGGCTGGACACGACATAATATTGGGCTTACACGAACATGAAATAATATATTCGCTTATTAAAAATACACATAATACGCAACTTGTACACTACTTTACAAAATAATGAATAACGAATTCTGACGCTTAAATGTGTTGCTTCGGTAATTTATCGTTTTTTTTTTTTTCAAATATGCAAAGAACTTTATATTAAAATAGTATTATGTAATTATTAATGTTTGTTCAACGAATCGCTTGTGATAAATGGAATTTTTGCTTTCTTCAGAGAACACAAGAGAAATACTAGTTTCCTCTCACCACAATATCTCGTATTGAGATAAAAGTAATGAAGTTATTAAACTATCTTGTCCTGATGAAACGACCAGAATAATTCAACGAAAGCAAGCTATATTTCTCGTGCGTGTGTTCGAATGATATTGTTACGAAAAATGCCACTTTTGGGATTAATTCCCTTTATGAATAGCTAAAAAGAATGGAAGGTGTTATATCTCTGTAAACACTCGGCTATTTACTTCTCCGGCTTATAAAACAAGTTGTAGGAGCGCTTATGTTACGAATATATGGGTGTATCTATGGCCCATTGTGAGGGCCAGCTTTTCATTTTGTTTTCTTTGCGCATATTATAAAATAAAATACATAGTTTTCGCAGTCTATTTCTTGATTTAAATAATTCTGTCTTATGTTGAATCATCGATAACAGATACCCTTTACTTTTTATTTTAGGAGAATATGTTGGTTTCTTATTCCATTTATTTAAAAGCTATAAAAGATTTAACATTATATTATTATTGATTGCATCTTTTTTATATNTTTTGTTTTCTTTGCGCATATTATAAAATAAAATACATAGTTTTCGCAGTCTATTTCTTGATTTAAATAATTCTGTCTTATGTTGAATCATCGATAACAGATACCCTTTACTTTTTATTTTAGGAGAATATGTTGGTTTCTTATTCCATTTATTTAAAAGCTATAAAAGATTTAACATTATATTATTATTGATTGCATCTTTTTTATATTAAATTAATTATTTCTTGACCTGAATTTGTTTGTTGAAGAGCTGTTCTAAAACAAAAATCCTTAAAGTAAATACGATACGATAATACGATAATGGAACATTATTTTAACTTACATTAATTTCAAACAGTGTACGGAGTGAACAACTACTGGGACATGCTTGAGAACGCCCCCGAGAGGGAAGGTCAGGAAGCCAATGACGACAAGACCCTGGAAAGGTGAGAAATGCTTAAATTTATACACTAAAAATAATGAGTTAACCCCTACAAAATCATGAAAATAAGTTGAAAATCAAATTCAAGTTTTTATTTAAGCCATGCCTTTAGAAGTGTTTTTTTAAATTCGCATGACTTTATCACCGATCCCACTTCGTTACTGAGAGGAGTCAACGAGCAACTCAGAGCTTGGTATTTTCTTGCTTTAATTATTTTGATGAGAAGGGTCGCAAGCACGCTTGCCTACGACGTCAATAAGTTAAAAATTAATTGAGTTTTTACTTGTACCAGATACTAAGTATTTACGGATTTTAATGTAAGGTGTACAGACAGATATGTACATATGTATAAAAGTTCTTCACGCTTCGGTTTCCTCAATACTGAGGGTCGTGGCAACCTCCTCGCAACAAGAGCTTATTCTGAATCATTCCACGCCATTTGATCCGATCTGCCGCCGAGTGTAGAGCATCGTGAAATACGGTGTCGAGAGTAGTGCGGATCTGGTCAGTCCAACGTATCGGGCCTCTACCTCGTGGTATTCCTCCTTCCACCTTGCCAGTTACAATTAGCTTCTCCAAGTTACCGTCATCCTTTCTGGAAATGTGGCCAAAGTATTCCAAAGCTCTACGTAGGCAGATGGTAGAAAGCCTCGTTCTTTATTTGGAGTTTTTGGAGGATCGACAGATTGGTGCGACGTGTTGTCCAGGGAATTCCTAGCATCTTTCGCCAGAATTTGGCATTCTTCGACCGGCATTAGGCGATCGGCATTCTTCAGGATCCAGGTCTCTGCGCCGTATGCCATGACCCTCTTTGCCTTTCCAATCCTTCTCCGTATCTCATTATCGCACGAGCCATGACAACTAATATTTGTGTCCAGGTATACAAGGTTGTCAACTATCTCTGAATCAAATCTTTCTGTGAGCTCAAGTTTGCCCGTATGATCTATGACCATGATCTTGGTTTTGGACTTGTTTATCGAGAGTGCCAGTTGATGCGTGATGATACTGATGCGTTTCATCCTATCCAAGTAGTGTCGTCAGCATATCGCAAATTACAAATGTTGTAACCACCGATGGTGATACCTCCAGTCCAGTTATTGCAGATACTCCAAATTATATACTCACCGTATAAATTAAATAGGATGGGTGAATCCTATTCAATAAATGTATATATATAATCTCTTCGAACAAACAATCCTACGCTAAATTGCCCTTCAGAACTTTGGATAAAATACAGCTAACGTAAATTCCAAAATATCAATTTCAGTTGAATAATTATTGACAATGGAATATAAATTTGTACAAGATTGATAGAATCAAATAAAATAGATTACAGTGAATTATATTCACTTTACAGAAAAATAAATGATCGCACCAAAGTATCCTTTAGACAAATGTTTTTAGCTAATTACCTGTTCAAAAATAATAATCAAAATTGGCACGGTATTTTTTTCTGTCATACAGTTATCAATTACGTCTAAATCTAATAACAACAAAATACCTGACAATAACTGAGGATTAATCGAAGTCGACGTACTTGAAGATTTCTTCGCAGGAATCTTAGATTCAATAAGGGTTTAGTTACAAAAGATGTACGAGAATTAAATGTATTTTCCAAGTTCAACGACATACCGCTCGTATTCGTTTTTCAAATATCTATTTTTCATTTGATGCCGTCAGCGCAAAAGTGGCCTAAGCTTACCATTGTTATTATGGAGCAATGAAGTTTATGTTTTCATGAATTTGAATTTGAGTAGGCAAAATAACAATATGCCCAAAAATAATATTTACAAAGTCATCTGTTATCTGTGGGTGAAACTATGGATAGGCCGGTTTTGCATCAAAATTTATTATATCTATATATCTATATATATAAAAATGAATTGCTGTTCGTTAGTCTCGCTAAAACTCGAGAAGGGCTGGACCGATTTGGCTAATTTTGGTCTTGAATTATTTGTGGAAGTCCAGAGAAGCTTTAAAAGGTATAATAATATGAAAATAAATAAATAAAAATAGCAATTTTGTATTTCCTTTGATGTGTCCCCCGCCGGACGAATTCCTTTTGTTTGTTTTAAGTTGATTTTATACAAAAGTTTAGGTCTTTTATTTATCTATTGAGGTACTACGAAGTCTGCCGGGTCAGCTAGTTTTAAATAAATTGCAATATACATAATATAAGCATGATTATGAAAAATTGTGGGTTAAGCCACTTTTACGCTGATTTCATTTGATCTCAAAGTTCTAATAAATCTAATGTTTGATAGACATATTATGTACTTTTATAGTTATTAAAGATAGCCTCATTGGTGCGTAATAACAAGTAAATCAATAAGGACTCAAAAGGCTAATAACAACTTATTTGTTAAAATACTTGTTAATTATTTATTAGGCATTATTAACAATCAATAGGCTTGTGCGCGGCTTAGGGCTGCTGTGTAAGGAATCGAGTTTTACTATTCACAATAAATATTCAACTTCTTCATAGACACTAAAATTTAAATTACATTTTAAATGACTCGGTATAACTCGGTATCAGGTTTCTAACTTTGAAACCCGATAAGCAATGAAGTTTATAACATGAAGTTTTTAGCGAGAAGTATCATAGAGTTGTTCGAGAAACTTAGTTGAACTTTTTTTTTTTTTTTTTTTTTTTTTNTCCTCGTCGAACCCGTCGCTTGCGACGAAGGGCTCGACGAGCGAACTAACCCATAGACACAGCCCACTGAGTTTCTCGCCGGATCTTCTCAGTGGGTCGCGTTTCCGATCCGGTGGTAGATTCAGCGAAGCACTGCTCTTGCTAGGGTCAGTGTTAGCAACTCTCCGGTTGAGCCCCGCGAGCTCACCTACTAACGTTAGGGTGAAGCTGAAATAGCCTCTCAAGGCTATCAGCATAGGTAGGAAAAAAAAAAAAAAAAAAAAAAACTGTGGGTGAAACTATGGATAGGCCGGCTTTGCATCAAAATTTATTATATCTATATATCTATATATATAAAAATGAATTGCTGTTCGTTAGTCTCGCTAAAACTCGAGACCAGCTGGACCGATTTGGTTAATTTTGGTCTTGAATTATTTGTGGAAGTCCAGAGAAGCTATAAAAGGTATAAAAATATGAAAATGCTCGGAAATTAAATAAAAATAACAATTTTGTTTTTGCTTTGATGTGTCCCCCGTCGGACGAATTCCTTTTGTTTGTTTTAAGTTTATTTTATACAAAAGTTTAGGTTTTTTATTTATCGATTGAGGCACTACGAAGTCTGCCGGGTCAGGTAGTTTTAAATAAATTGCAATATACATATAATAAGCATGATTATGAAAAATTGTGAGTTAACTCACTTTTACGCTGATTTCATTTGATCTCAAAGTTCTAATAAATCTAATGTTTGATAGACATATTATGTACTTATATAATTATTAAAGATAACCTCATTGGTGCGTAATAATAACGAGTAAATCAATAACGACTCAAAAGGCTAATAACAACTTATTTGTTAAAATACTTGTTAATTATTTAAATGGCATTATTAATCAATCAATAGGCTTAAGGCTGCTGTGAAAGGAATCGAGTTTTACTATTCACAATAAATATTCAACTTCTTCATAGACACTAAAATTTAAATTACATTTTAAAACGGCTCGGTATAACTCGGTATCAGGTTTCTAACTTTGAAACCCGATAAGCAATGAAGTTTATAACATGAAGTTTTTAGCGAGAAGTATCATAGAGTTGTTCGAGAAACTTAGTTGAACTAAGGAGTAAGGGTTCTAAAAGAAAAACTTTATGCTCTGGATACACTTTTAAAATCGATAGATGTTGTGGAGACTCCTTTTTTTGTCGAAATAAGATGAGACGATTATGATGATTACCTAACTAATGTCGAGCTATATATCAGAGCTAATAGACCTCAAAAGAATGATACTGTCTTGAGACACGTGGTCAAAGTTTCATTTGCATTGTAACACGGTGTTCTCGCTCGATAGAGACCAAATCTTCGCGACAAAATGAAGTAGGTACATATGATGATTATACTTAACCTTATGAATATATTATTGACATATTTATATGCCACGCTTTTAGTTAATGTTCTTTGTTTGAAATTAAATTTGATCTTTTTTATTTAAAGGGTTTTTATATATTCAGAAAGGTTTAACTAGTATTTCACCGAACATATTGTTTAATCCTGTAAGAATTACGATCAAACAACGACTAATGTTTTCATTAACTATCTCGAGCGTAATCTGTTTATACAAATCGTAATTTAAGGAAGGCGTATTCGATTGTAATTTATTGCAAATGAGAACCATCGATTCGATTAATTAACAGTTATTTATTAATGGCGTTGAAGCATTAAGTTATAACCAATTGTTGCGATTTCCTTTTGTTCTCGCCATGATTGCCTGATGGTTAATACGATTGTAATTTTATAAATGTTTAGATGGACCTTAAATTTATTTCCATTTATAGATTACTTCTCAGATTTTTATATTCATAATATGAAATCACTCGCTCTATTTATTATTAATTTGGGATTAATTACTTCAATAAACTCTTTATTACTACTCCTAAATATACTTCGATGCATAATTAACTGAAAAATTAATATATCTGCCTGCCCCATCAATCCCAATCGCTGTCATTTATTTTTTATATACTTGTATACGTTATTAAAACCAGCGGTAATATAAGTTTATGACTGTATTAAAATATGTTTTCGAGTGTATAAAATAAACGAGCGGTAATTTGTTATTTGTAAGTTGTGCTGTGAATTCAAATAGAAGACAAATTAATTCATAGTAAACGAATACAAAAAAAAATACGGTTGTCTGGTGTTTTTTTCTTTAAATTTCACGTTCTATTCTGTGTCCTCAAATAGAGTGATACCAAAATTTCATGCCAGTAATTAAATTAGTACCTAATCCTAATTAATATTATCTTAAAAATGTCTCTTTAATAGGTATTGGAGATGTTATCAGTATATTACTTGATGATCTTTTGGTTTATCAAAAACTATGTCTCAGTGTATTTTTCGAAAATTCCCAATTGCGAACCACGTAATGTGTCTCATGATTGCTTGTGCATTGCTTTAGAATGTTTATTGTGTAAATCGAATAATGAATATACAATGAGTTCTAAGCCTTTATGCTAATTCGCCTTATAAGGCAGGTAATTTGCGAATTAATTCATCAGTCAAAGGATTTATTTTAGGACGTTTTAACTCGACTATACCTTACATTCGTGTGTCTATTTTTGTACTTTCGTTACTTTATTGAGACTTGACCTACTTATTGCCTATGTTAAAGCTACAAATTAACAAAGGAAGGGGAAATGATTCCGTAACATCGCATCCTGTCGCTACGTTAATTTGATTGTTAAAAAAATAAAACAGAATCGATTCAAGCATTTTCAGAATCGTTTTCAGAAAATTACAGGTTTATAATATTATTATCATGTATAACAAAGTTTTTTTTTAATTTCTTGTTGCTAACATCGGTGGACGAGCTCAAGGCCCACCTATTGTTGAGTGATCACCGAAGCTAATAGACATTAACAACACAAATGCTGCTACCCACTTGGACATGAGTTCTAACTCTTAACTCTTACAGTACGACGGCTGCCCTACCCTTCAAACCGAAACGCATTACTGCTTCACGGCAGAAATAAGCAGGGTGGTGGTACTTACCTATACAGAATCAGAAGACCCTACGAAGAGTAATATTTTAGTGTCCACTTGAAAAATAACTTTCTCACTTCGAAATCTATTAACAACAAAGAGATTTCACTGGTGGTAGGACCTCTTGTGGGTTTGCACGGGTAGGTACCACCACCCTGCCTATTTCTGCGTGAAGCAGTAATGCGTTTCGGCTTAAAGGGTGGGGTAGCCGTTGTAACTATACTGAGACCTTAGAACTTATATCTCAAGGTGGGTGGCGCATTTACGTTGTAGACGTCAATGGGCTGTGAGCTCGTCCCATTTAAGCAATAAAAAAAAAACATGATGTAAATATTTATTATTAAATTTTATTATAGCATTCCACTGGACTGGTTCGTGAATGAGATTCTCAACAACCCGGACTTCGCTCGATCTGTCGTCCGGAAGTTCATCGATCTCAATCAGGTGACAAAAAACTACGGACCTGAATTTAATTTAATTATTTTATTTTAATTTTGAACTGAACCCCGGCAAAACATTTAATTTATTGTTTCAATGTAACTTAGCACTTCGTGTTCGAAACCTATTTATTATATAATATCGTTCGTGTATCGTAATAATATCGTATCGTTATTACTCAATTCATGTTGTCTATTATTAAGCTATTATCTGTTTGACCTATACATGGTATATCTATGTGTGTAACGTGATTTTTGCTAACTTCAGAACGTCATGTTAATATGAAAATTTACCAAAGTATAAAGAACATAAGACAACACAATTTTCACCACACTGCCTTGATATCCTGACCGGAATTACCGGGATTAAAAATAATTATCATTTAAATGTTTTTTTTTTTCGTTTTTATATTGAATGTTTTTTATGTTTATATTTTTATGTTTTTTATCAGTTACCGATATTTTTAAATATCATAACGAGAATAACATCCTCAACCTCAAAAATGAAATTTAAACTTTAATCGCATGGGTTTTAGATAAACTTGAATATATCAGAATCATCCACTAAATATTATTTTATATTATAAACAAACATGACTTCCCATCAGAGCAGCCCTCTTTCCATTTAAATACGAGAACTCAAGCGATTATTATCGATAGTAATTTATTTGATCCCAAAACCGAGAATTCAAATAGTCCAGTTAACACATATTTGCACAATTTCGATTGGCCTTTGATTCGATCGATATTTCACTGACCGTAATTCCTGTCTTGATCAACAAGCGTTGTATTAACAAGACAATGTATAGTGATGATGTTGATTGAATATAAACAAAGGCTTCATCATCATACAATTGAAGGTATTGATATTAAAGACAATTTGGTAGGCAGCGGCTTGGCTCTGCCCCTGGCATTGCTGAAGTCCATGAGCGACGGTAACCACTAACCATCAGGTGGGTCGTATGCTCGACTGCCTACAAGGGCAATAAAAAAAAAACATAATTTTCGTGTTAAAGGATTACCGTTGTGGATGGTACTTAGCCTATGATTTTATTGTCATGAGAGATAAACACGTTTAACGAAATTTTTGTCTTACTGATACCAACTATTAACAAGTCCTCCTAGGCTGAGCCCCATGAACTCCCCTACCAAGCCGTGCGTAGCTGAAATTGCCCCTTAGGCTAGCAACGATTAAGTAGGGGAAAAAAGGTACCAAATCCTCCTGATTACTAATACTTTTATAATTCTTAGCGATGTAGCCAAACTATCCTGTTAACATATTCAGACTTAGTTTTGACTTGATCCCTAGTTCTCGTAATATCAATATCAAAAATGTGGTACAAGAAATTTTAAGCATATTTTTTCACTACCGGTTTTTAAGGAATCAATACGGTCTCAGTCAGTCATTTTGAGCCCCCATATCCCAAATAGAACACGTGCGTAACGAACATTTTTGTTTTGTTTTTATTAATTATTATTACTGTATAAATAAATATTTCCGCATCAGAATTTTTCAGTACCGGATTTTAAGGCATCAATACGGTCTTATTCGGCCATTTTGAGCCTCCGTATCCCAAATAAAACACGCGTGTAACGAACATTTTTGGTTTTGTTTTTGTGAATTATTATTACTGTATAAATACATAATTCCGCATCAGAAATTTTGTTTTCCAACAGCCCTTTACATACACAACGTTTTATTTGATTTGTTTTTACATTTGTGGATTATATTTCAGACCGTTCTTTAAATTCGATTAAATGTTCGTTGGTAACTAAGTTTCTAGAATGTTATGAAATACTACCACACCTCGCCTTTTCGCATTAAAAGTGTACAATTTCCAAAAATATTCGAAACTGAGTTAATATGCGTAATCATTTGGTATCATCAGTATTTTTCTCATAAATTCTGTCAAAAGAGCAAAGTTTAGTTTTTGTTTTTTTTTAGTTTACTACTACTACACTAGTTAGGTGTTTTGAATACTATTAACAAAAATTAATACGGTACGTAATTTTATCTCATTTTAAAAGACAGATAATGTAACTGGTAAAAAATAATAAATAAATGTAGCAAATATGATTGATATTAAAAATATTACATGTTAAAAACCATTTAAAACATTCTCCCGTAAAATTAGTAAGTTTTGAGATTATACAGTTTTAATGCGAGAAGACGATCTATGTCGTGAATTTCCCAAAATTTTTACACTTGTAAAATTAAAATACTCTTAAAATTTTTCGCAGGACGGTATGCTGTCATCAGACGAACTGCTCAGGAACTATTAAGCTATTATCTAACTATATAAGACGGTTAACTCTCGTTATTCTGTTAAAATCGGTTTGCGTTCGAACGTTGAATAATACTCTGTATTTATGTGTTACTGTACGTAACAGCTCTGTGATATGGACGGAAATAGTCCTCAAAAAGAACAAAAAAAAAAATCGCTTCAGATCTCATTGTTTCACTTTTTTTTTTGTTTGTAAATAACTATAGTGTTATTATTATATTGAGTCCATATAAATGAACTAGAAAATGTTAATATTAGATGTTTATTTATTTTTTAGATATTTTGATTTCATTAGAAGCAATATATTAAATACATTAACGCGTTCTCTGTTATCTTTGGTTAANAAAAAGAACAAAAAAAAAAATCGCTTCAGATCTCATTGTTTCACTTTTTTTTTTGTTTGTAAATAACTATAGTGTTATTATTATATTGAGTCCATATAAATGAACTAGAAAATGTTAATATTAGATGTTTATTTATTTTTTAGATATTTTGATTTCATTAGAAGCAATATATTAAATACATTAACGCGTTCTCTGTTATCTTTGGTTAATAGAAAAGGGGAAAGGCTAGTTATTTGTAATTCTCACTATTAGGCTGGGATTCTGTCTTGATGTTGATTTCATTGTGAGAATGTCGAGTTAGATTACTCTACATACATACATACATAATAATAAAAAATTAATGTTTAAGCATAGAAGAAAATAATCTACGTTCAGATACCCAAGTAATTAATTAGTTTGTTGTTAAATTATCTTTGTCGACGTTATGAATAAAATTAAATAAAAATCGGGTATCAAAATTGTTGTTTTATTTTCATGCCTCATTATTTGTTCGTGTTATACTGCTATCTCTTATCAAAGGTTGGCATAATTAAGGCCGATAATGTATTTTGACGTATATTTACTGTTTCTCAGGAAAAAAAAGAGAGAGTGCTTCTGTCACAAATTCGTAATGTTCTGAGTTAGAATATGCCAAGTTCTATCTATTACCCTAGATCTTATATCTTAATTTTATCTTAATCTTATCAATATGTAAAAATAAATATAATTCCAAAAATAATTATTGCCTTTCGTCCGTATTTTATCAATCATAACCACATAATATATCCAATGAAGTAAAATTAAAGTTGTGAGACAGTATTGTAGAATCTGACATCAACCTTCTGTTGTAGCTGTTATGGTGTAAAATTGAGACTTCAACTACATGTCTAAAGGTTTCTTTCATTCATGTTCTGATGTCTATAAGCTTTTGTTCAAAACCAGCGAACATGCTTAATATTAACAAAATCAACAAATACCTGTGTTCAAAATCTGATTTTTCAAGGAATTTGGAAAAGATCTTTTCTTCAAACGAGCCTTGTGGTAAATACTTTATAGTAGGCAGCAGGTTGACTCTGCCGACATTGCTGGCGTCCATGGGCGACGGTAACCGCTCACCATCAGGTGGGCCGTATGATAGTCTGCCTACAAAGGGCAATAAAAAAAATTGTTGGTAGCGCTTTTTTTCTAAACGACTACGCCGTTAAACTAACTAGTCTAAAGACAAGACTTCTGGTTGGTCGCCTTAAATTTCTTTTCACACAGTAATTACTAACAGTGCTCTGAATGTGTTCGAAGAAAACGAAAAATCTAGCTATAAGCCAAACTTTGCCACCACCCTGCCTATTTCTGCCGTGAAGCAGTAATGCCTTTCGATTTGAAGAGTGGGGCAGCTGTTGTAACTATACTTGAGACTTTAGAAGTTATATCTCAAGGTGGGTGGCGCATTTACGTAGTAGATGTCTATAGGCTCCAGTAAACACTTAACACCAGGTGTGAGCTCGTCTACCCACCCATCTAAGCAATAAAAAAACTTTGATTTATTTGAAGAAGCAGTCAAAGGCGCTAATTTTTTTTTCATAATCGCACATAGCTTTTGGCATAAACCTATAGAATAAAGGTTATAGAATACAGAGTATACAATGTATATATATATATTTATACCGTCTAAGATTCTAATGGCACCTAGATTGATCAGAAATCATTTGAACCGATATAAAAAGCGGTGCATAAGCGAACAAAGAATTAATAAAGTCTATTTACAACGTTAAGCATTAAAACCAAAGAACTAGGGTACATATTATATTGTGTATATTGTCAGATATATCATTTTTATATTACGTTCCGGCTACGGAACATAGATAGCATCTTTGATTAGTTGCGTTAGAGGCGGACATTGATTAAAGTTTGCTTGCTGGCTTAACTAAATTAGAGCCGTCCAGTGAACTCGGCAGTATGTTGTCTTTGTTGATTTCAACAACTTCACGAATTGAAGACGCTTAACCTCACGTTTATTTATGTCTTTATACGAGACAGCACCGAAATATATGATTAAAAATATTTTAGGATATTTTTGATATTTAATTTTTTTATCACGGTCTACGCGCTGTTAAATCGATATTACGAGTATACGCCACTTAAATACCACCGCCCTTCTTGAGACATGAAGTCCTACTTTAATTAGTCCTAATTTAATTGCAATGAAAATGCTACTGGACAAATCGTAGCGAGAAATCCCTGCTGCACAACAATTTTTCACAAAAATTACGCAGCATGCTTGCATTAACAGAGGCATAGAGCTAGCTTCTATGTTTTCGAAAAAAGGTGACAAAGTATAAAGGAACTTTTGAACTTCATTTAAGATCGTGTTTCTATCGTGAAATTGCTTCAAATTACGACGAGCGCTTGTAGTAATTAGATCATTCGTGACCGAATCGTGGTTGTGTAGTAAATGAATTATAGGTTCGTCTCCGTACCTTCTTCGGTAGGTTCGTCTGTTAGTCATTAATTCAATTATAAATTAATTTGTTTTCGGAACTTTACAGAACGGTAGACTTTAAGTGTTCATCGTTCAATAACATTGAACGCAAACGTACCTTTACTTTGACTAATCAAATTAAATTGTATAAAATGTATTTGTATGTATTTTTTTGGAACGAAATTCCTTAAGGGACGATGTGGAGGGGTACCCTTTTTTTTTTTTAGTCAGGAGGAAATCGCCGGACTTCCGCCCTCCACTGGGGACGGCGGGCGGAGCATGTCGGAGTCGAACCGACTAAAACCTCCTGTCGCTCAACAACCAACGTCCAAACCTCACATGAGACAGAACTCATGAAAGGCAAAGGGGGAAAGTGAAGTGTTTAGTGCGGAGCACATCTGTCCCATCACCCTTCCCCTCGGGACGCCGGACTGGCGGTCGTCGGCGCCACGACCACCAGCCCTCTCGGTCGGCAGGCTATCCGGAGCCCGCCTAGATGGCGCCGGTTAGAGTGAGCTATCCTACGGAATACCCCGCTGGGTCAGAACCAGCGTGGGTCGAGGATAGCCGGCCTTCCATCACCCGGATGCTCTTGCGTAAAACGCGTGCAGAGCAGCTTGCACGACGTCTTCTTAGGTCCCCCTCGCCGGTCCCCGGACCGACATATGAGGGGGACCCGAAACACTTAGAGGGCCAGGGCTTGGGCGAGATCCGCCTCCCTGGCCCCCGCTCGACGGCGAACCGGGAAAAAACGTCCGTAACGTAAGATATTTTCGATTTAGTTTGTTATCAACAGATGTCACTGCACGTAAATTCAACAATTCCTGAATCGCGGTGACGAGATGTTACACAGTTGACAGACGTTCTCGTATTTCTCTTGCTAAATTATACTTACCTGGCGCAGGGGATACCGTGATCATGTAGGCGGTTATCCCAGGGCGAGGCTGCTCCATTGCACTGCGGAGTGGTTGACCCTAGTGATTATTTTTATTTTTATCAATAAATAAAAAAATCATAATAAAAAATGTATAACCGAATAATTATTTCCTTTATACCTCGAATAGAACCTCTTTTTTTTATTGCTTAGATTGGTGGACGAGCTCACAGCCCACCTGGTATTAAGTGGTTACTGGAGCCCATAGACATCTACAACGGAAATGCGCCACCCACCTTAAGATATAAGTTCTAAGGTCTCAGTATAGTTACAACGGCTGCCCCACCCTTCAAACCGAAACGCATTACTGCTTCACGGCTGAAAATAAGCAGGGCGGTGATACCTACTCGCGAACTAACTAAACTAGAACTTAAAATTAATATTTTTATAATAAGGAACTTCGTTCCTATCCGGTGTCCCACGACACTATACGTATTTTTTTTAAACTTATTACTTGGTTGCATAACAATTTTAGACGAACACTATGCAATTAGAACCTTTTTTTTTAAATCAACAAAAGGAGTGTTAATTAGATGTCTCACTAGAGTAAGCTATCGCATATTAAAACAATTTTAAATTAATTAAATTTTAATCAACTAGAACGCACTCAATAATATTCTCACAACGGCATCACATGATATAGGTAATACTGAAACTATAAAAGAAATTTTTGAACTAAAAGAAAAACAACTTATAGAAGACAAAATATGTAGTAATCCGCTGTCCGCAGGAAAGGTAGATAAACTGGAGATTGATCGTTCTCTTTAAGCTGTAGTGAAGCACCAGCAAATACCAATCACCATTCTTAAAAGGGGTTTATGTCTAAAAAATGATAACCTGACATATTTTAAAAATATCTTTTTAAGAGCTGATGTCAGAGAGATGTGAGAGAGATGTCAATTCAAAAACATTCGATCAGCTTAAAAGAGTTTTTATTTAATTTATTTATTATACACTCCGTCATAAGAAAATCTTATATTTGCATAATGCTAATTATGCTATTTAACTGATAATTATGTAATTTTTAACTATTATAATAGTATGTAACAATAATATATAGGCCAATTTTTAATAATTATCTAGAATCGATGAAGAGGAAAACAATAATATAATTTAATAACTTATTTTCATTTTTTTTTTATTGTTTGCACACCTGATTTGATTTGGTTAGCGGAACGTAAATGTCGCCACCCACCTTGTGACTTGAGATTTTTTTGATATGTATATAATGGTATACAATAAAGGGCATAAATACTCTCTTCCAGTCTACATTATAATCTTCAGCTTAATGAATCCCGTAATGTATAACAAAATGGTCTGTATGATGACTCCAGCGTTCTCTCGAGGCCATAGATCCCACGCGTCAGCAGGTTTTCATTTTTTGTTACGGCACCTACACAATTTGTTTTTCGTATTCCGCAAATGCTTCCCATAAAATGGCTACATAAA